GCCCATAAGGACCCATAGGGACCTATTAAGCCCCAAAGACCCCATTGAGCCCCACAGACCCCTTGGGCCCCATAGACCCCATTGAGCCCCATAGGGACCCACTAAGTCCCATAGAACCCTTTGAGACCCATAGGGACCCATTGAGCCCCATAGGGACCCATTGAGCCCCATAGGGACCCAATGAGCCCCATAGACCCCATTGAGCCCCATAGACCAGACTGAGCCCCATAGGGACCCATAGAGACCATTAGGGACACATTGAGCCCCACAGAGCCCCATTCAGCCCCATAGGGACCCACTGAGCCCCAGAGAGCCCATTAAGCCCCATAGACCCCATTGAACCCCATAGAACCCATTGAGCCCCATAGACCCCATTGAGCCCCATAGAACCCATTGAGCCCCATAAGGACCCATAGGGACCCATTGAGCCCCATAGACTCCACTGGGCCCCATAGACCACATTGAGCCCCATAGGGACCCATAGAGCCCCATAGGGAACCTTTGAGCCCCATAGAACCCATTGACCCAATAAGGACCCATAGGGACCTATTCAGCCCCATAGACCCCACTGAGCCCAATAGACCCCATTGGGCCCCATAGACCCCACTGAGCCCCATAGACCCCATTGATCCCCATAGAGCACACTGAATCTCTGCCCCATCGATCCCATTGAGCCCCATAAACCTCACTGAGCCCCATAGACCCCATTGAGCCCCATAGACCCATTGACACCCATAGAACCCATTGAGCCCCATAGGGACCCATTGAGCCCCATAGACCCCATTGAGCCCCATAGAGACCCATTGAACCCCATAGGGACCCACTGAGTCCCATAGAAACCTTTGAGACCCATAGGGACCCATTGAGCCCCATAGGGACCCACTGAGCCCCATAGACCGCATTGAGCCCCATAGACTCCACTGAGCCCCATAGACCGCATTGAGCCCCATAGACTCCACTGAGCCCCATAGACCCCATTGAGCCCCATAGACTCCACTGAGCCCCATAGACCCCATTGAGCCCCATAGACTCCACTGAGCCCCATAGACCCCATTGAGCCCCCTAGGGACCCATTGAGCCCCATAGACCCCCATGAGCCCCATAGACCCCATTGACCCCCATAGAGCCCCATTGACCCCCATAGACCCCATTGAGCCCAATAGACCCCATAGAGCCCCATGGACCCCATTGAGCCCCATGGGGGTCTATGGGGTCCTATGGGGCTCTATGGGGGTCTATTGGGTCTATGGGGCTCAGTGGGGTCTATGGGGCTCAATGGGATCTAGGGGTCTCAATGGGGTCTATGGGGCTCAATGGGTCCATGGGTTTCAATGGGGCTCTATGGGGCTCAATGGGGCTCTATGGGGGTCAAGGGGTCTCTATGGGGCTCAATGGGGTCTATGGGCTCAATGGGGTCTATGAGCTCAATGGGTCCCTACAGGGCTCAATGGGGTCTATGGGGCTCAATGGGGTCTATGGGGCTCAATGGGTCCCTATGGGGCTCAATGGGGTCTATGGGGCTCAATGGGTCCCTATGGGGCTCAACGGTTCCCTAGGAGTCTCAATGGGGCTCAATGGGGTCTATGGGGCTTAATAGGGTCTATGGGGCTCAATGGGTTCTATGGGGCTCAATGGGGTCTATGGGGCTCAATGGGGTCTATGGGGCTCAATGGGTCACTATGGGGCTCAATGGGGTCTATGGGGCTCAGTGGGTCCCTATGGGGCTCAATGGGGTGTATGGGGCTCAGTGGGTCCCTATGGGACTCAATGGGGTCTATGGTGCTCAATGGGGTCTATGGGGCTCAATGGGTCCCTATGGGGCTCAATGGGGTCTATGGTGCTCAATGGGGTCTATGGGGCTCAATGGGTCCCTATGGGGCTCAATGGGGTCTATGGGGCTCAATGGGTCACTATGGGTCTCAAAGGGTTCTATGGGGCTCAATGGGTCCCTATGGGGATCAATGGGGTCTATGGGGATCAATGGGTTTCTATGGGGCTCAATGGGGTCTATGGGACTCAATGGGCCGAGGATCAGCATCCAGGACTCCAGAGGCTGGGAATCACTAAAGGAAATGGCAATGGGGGGGGGGGGGGTGTGGGATTGTGTGGGGTGTGAGGCCTCATTGAGCCCCATAGAGCCCCATAGAGCCCCATTGGGATTCATAGAGCCCCATAGGGGTACAATGAGCCCCATGGAACCCATTGAGCCCTATAGGGAGCCATTGAGTCCCATTGGGTCCCAGAGAGTCCCAGAGGGACCCATTGAGCCCCACAGGGACACATTGAGCCCCAGAGAATGCTTTGAGACCCATAGGGAGCCATTGAGCTCTATAGGGACCAATTGAGCCCATTGGCCCCATTGAGCCCCATAGGGACCCATTGAGCCCCATAGGGGCCCATTGAGCTCCATAGACGTTATTGAGCCTCATAGGGACCCACTGAGCCCCATAGTCCCGATTGAGCCTGTTAGTGACACATTGATCCCCATGGACCCCATTGAGCCCCATAGAGCCCCACTGAACCCCTTCACATCTGGCATCCCTAGGGAATTCTTATCCCTTAGGGCTGCCTCTGGCTCCCCTCTGCTTCCTCCCATTGGATGGGGATGGGGGCCGGATGATCCCAGTTTTCCAGCTGGGAATGGGGTCGGCGCCGTTGGGCAGTGGGGGGGTGAGATACAGGGGCGATACTGAGCACCGCCAGCCCCATAGGAGCAGCTGTATAGAATCAGCCCCATAGAATCAGCCCCATAGTATGAGACCAATAGCAACAGCATCAGCCCCAGAGCAGCCGCATTAGCCCCAGAGCAACAGCCCTGTAGCGTAAGGGCCACAGCAGCAGCATCATCCCCATAGTGAGTGATAGGAGGACTACAGGTCCCGGCAGGCCGCGCGGCCGGAGCGCAAGGCATTGTGGGAGCTGTGGGCGCAGAGTTGCTGTTAGCGCTTGGAGGACTACATGTCCCAGTATGCCAAGCAGCGGTGCCTTCTCCCCAGGGTGCGCGGGGCCCTGCACTCGTAGGTCCCATAAGCCCCATAGCAGCTATAGCTGCCATTGCTGCTATAGGAGGTATAGCTGAGGCGCATGGCGGATTGCTCCTCCAAAAGCATGTGCACCCCAGCGTTGCTCTCCTTGATATTTATCCTCTAAAGTACTACATATGCATTAGGTTACACAATACGCCTATACATATTCATGTCCTATCCCTGCTTCGTAGTATAATGAGCTCAAAGGTCCTTTGCACATGCGCAGTGCCTCCTCGTGGTCGTGGGCAAGGGTCTTCAGATGAGGTAAATGAGTCTTCCTCGGACCTGAACTTTTTACCTTTAGTCGTCGCTCATGCTCCCTGGTTGTTTGGCCACCATCCAAACCGCAAAGATAGCCTCAGCCGGTTTAGGGGTCCAGAGACCAGGAACCAAGTTACGGTTCCTTCCTCTTATCAATAGTCTTGCATCCTCCCATCCTCCTTTGGCAAGCGCAAGAAACATTAAGCAAGCAATGTACATTGTTTCGCAAGCAGCTGCAGCCCCTAATAAATCATTCCTTAACCCTAACTCTCTTGGTAAGGCACAATAGTTTTTTGCTGAGCGATGTATCTGTTGAATAAGCCATGTAACTTAAACAATAACCCCTTGTACAATTTACCTAACCCCCCTTAGTACAATGGTCCACATCAACTGCACCTTGAAGACCCCTGCTCACAAGAGGAAGACTGTTTACTTCGTCCTCAAGCCCCCTGCTCACAATCACCACAGAGCAGTGCGCAGACGCCAAGAGGAGGAGACTTGTGATAATAAATTCTTGAAGCTCGTTATAATATCCCCCGCCTATATGCGGGAATTATGAATATGCATGTAACTAATGTAACACTGAAAGTATATAAACCTGTACCAAATGCTAATCCCTTGCACCTCTGGCTGCGGTCACGTGACCAGCGCTGTTGCTTTTGGTTTCTTGATTTTGTCCCTCTGTTATTTCAGTTAGAAGAGTGAGCTTGATGCGCGGATTGACTCCACAACTCGTTAAAAGTTGTAAAGTAGGTATGCTTTTTATTCAGCGCTGAGACGCACGGGGATAATTCCTCAAAGTCATGCGTACCTCAGTGTTGTTTCCCTCCACATTTATCCTCTAAAGTTATACATATTCATAAGGTTGCACAATACGCCTATACATATTCATGTCCTATCCCCGCTTCCTATTATAATGAGCCAGAAGGTCCTCTGCGCCTGCGCAGTGCCCCCTCTGGTCATGGGCAGGGGTCTCAAGATGAAGTAAATGAGTCTTCCTCCTCTGGGTAGGGGTCTTCAAGATGAAGTAAATGAGTCTTCCTCTTCTTGCACTTTTCATCTTTTTTAGTCTTTACGTGTGGCCTTAGAGTTTGGTCAGTGTCCCAGCCGTAAATCCTCTACTTCTCCCCTTTATCAATAGAGTTTGATCAATGTCCCAGCCGTAAATCCTCTGCTTCTCCCCTTTATCAGTAGATTCAGGCGTCTGCTTATTAACAGGACCGGAGGTCTCTGTTCTGCTTAGCAGGCATTTACAACAGATAGTCCTTTTGTTTAAACAAATTCCTCTAACCCCCTTGTACAACCCCCTTGTACAACCCCCTTGTACAACCCCCTGTTCAACCCCCCTGTACAATGGTCAACCCTCTGTATCAAGCTCATATTTCAGACCAGTGTCCCATGTGGCATCAGCAGTCCTGGAACAGAAAGGAGCCCACTGGTTATCTCCTTCACGTTTTTTAAAATACCAGGCCACCATTGTAGAACAGGGTGATATAGAAATTGTGATCACTAACGTTGTGAATCCAGCATCCTTTTTGCAGGAACAATCGACAGAACGCCCCCTATCCAATCCTCGCCCGCTGTTTATCAAGTGACAGGCAACGGAACCAATGCCCCTCTTGCTCGCCCACCACTGGGGCCGGGACACGGTAGGAGCCAATAGGAGTGGGTAGCTCCGCAGGGGAAGGCAGTACTGAAGTGGGCAGGGCGGCTGTGCAGCTTGCTGAGAAAAAGGTTGGTTTCCTCGTGGTTTGGATGGGTGTTTTGGCTGTGCTGTTGGCGCGGTACGCAGTGCGGCCGCCCATCGGGAAGGGGAACTTCGTAGGCTGGGGGAGCTGGGCCGGGTCTAGTTGAGGTTGGATTGGCTGGGCCTGCGTTAGGTTGGTTCGATCCCGACGACGGATGGGGACGCCTCCCTGCGCCCTCCCCCCCGTGGTTGCACTGGGATGCGGCCGGCAGTGAGGGGGGCGGGCGCTGAGGGTGGATGGGCTTTAGCAGCGGTTCTGGGCTGAGGGGTACCTCAGCGGAAGGAATCCCGCGGGGAGTGGCTTTTGTTGGCCGGTAAAGGATGGGGTATTGCTTCCTCAGGGTCCACACTCCCCCCGCCCGACACGGGGCTGTGAGAGGTGGCAATGTCTGGTTCGTACTCCTCGGGTGGCTATGTGTGAAAAAAGAACCCCAACAAACTTTTTTTTTTTCTGTTTCTTTTGTTTTTTTTTGTTTTAATTTGTCTTTTGTGTGGCTTTTTTTGTTTGTTTGTTTTTTTTCCAAGATCAGGTGTGCGAAACTTCGTTCTAGGGTGGTGGAGAAAATTAAGAACGTTTACTAAGAGTTAACTGTTTACGATTGCAAGGCTTTGGTTCAGCCAGTACCCTTTTGCCTATCCCCCTCCTAGTTCAAACAAAATCAAGTAAACTTGAATTGCACGGTGAATCTTCAAATGGAAGGCCCTCCTGAGTCCTCTTCCATCCTTCTGTTCCACTTGATCTTTTAGAAGTGTTGCTCACCAATTCATATATTTGAACTCAAAAAATTCTCTGCCACTAAGAGTAACTTAAAAACAAACCAAAATAATAATTATAAAAAAATCCCAGCAAAACTTGTTTTCATCTCTCTAATCTGTTTCCCACAAGAGTACTGGGAGAATGGGCTTTACAGTAGGCTCTGCATAACAATGAGCCTGACCTCTGCTTGAGACTGAAGAGAACACCTAAGTTTTATGTAAAGAAGAACATGCAAAGTTTTAATATCAAAAGTATTATCAAGTTTTCAAATTTATTTTATTCTGCATTAATGATTGCATGTCAATGCTCTGTAATTGAAATGATCTGTCTACAGGCCTGACTTCCTAAGTGAGCTATAAATTCTGCTTCTCAGACTGGATTTAATGTTTTGTTGTTTTTTTTAATCAGAAAGCCATAAACTGGTTGTGAACTGTGCCAAGAGGCAAACAATACCTAAGCTTACTTTGCTGATTGTTGATTTGTTAAATGGAATTGCTGCAGGTCATGCAGTGGGATTAGGCTTTTGTTATAGAATAGGGAACACAGGCAGCCTTGTGTTCAGTACTCCCTAGGCTAGAAGAAATTGGCTACTCAGAAAAGTTTCCTTAACATTGCTCTCTGCTTTCATCAGAGAATCTATGTTACGAACAGCAAGGCTTCATTCCAGATGACATTTTATTACAATTTGTGTTTGACAGCTGTAGTGTGAAGTAAGACCAAGAAGAGACTGTGACTATGAGAGAGCAGTTCCTGGCTCTCCTACGAGTTTAGTCTGGGGCCTAAGCTAGATTTGATTACACTGGAGCAATAGGAGCCTAATTTAAGCCACTGTGGTGCAGAGTGAATTTTCCTTATCAAGGGGCTGTGGGGCTGGCCTGTTTGAAGAATATTAGGCTTGTGTTGAAAGTTATTTTGCATTAACTAATTGTTAAATGCAGCTGTGGTTTAACAAACTAGACAAGCTGTTAAGCTATATGGATAAAAACTGAAACAGGCACCTGGATATTTGATAATCAGTTCTGTGGATATTCTTGTCAAATTTACCCCAGGAGTACTTGTTTTTCTAAAACAATGAAACCAGTATTTCCTTGCTATACATACAAAATTTAGTCAAAGCAAGTGAGGTGAGAAGGCCTTAAACTGCTGTGGTTTGGAGTGCTTATGCACTGCTCTTGTGGGGATGTAAAGGTCTTTTTAGTTTTAAGAAGCAATGCTTCAAGGTGCATAATACTAAATGGAAGAAGGTGACTGCTTTGCAGATACAGGTGGATTTGCTGACTGCAGTTCTGAGTACTCATCACAATTGGCCAAATTGTTAAGCTGAATGAATTCCTGTCCTACTTGTGTTGCAATCTCTGATTGCCTTTTAAAAGATATGGGGCTGCTACTAGAATAACATGGTGAAATTCTTATTGATACTTCTGGTAAATCCCTGATGTGGCAGAACAATAGGTAGAAGGAAAAGGTTAGTTTAAGCCTCTCGGCTTAAAAAAAACCAACAAAACACACCAGAGAACACAGGAAACTTTATATAGGCCAGGATTATGTCTCAAGGGAGAGAATATTGCAGAATTAGATACCTTATCACAAGGACTATTGTAAAGCTGAAAATTTTGATAAAAGCATTGAGAATGTTTAGCAGGCCTGAAAGAATGAAGAAATTTAATGAAATGGTAAATGAGACCATACTGAAGTGCATTTTTTTTAAGGCTAAAAATCAAGGGAGCATTATGCAGCATTGAAAGATGTCAACTCTGAAGCTAAAGAACAGGAAATAATGTCTGTTGCGTGTCAGTGGGCTCCATAAGGGGGAGAATTGGTGTGTGGATAAGCAATGGTACTTGGTTGCCTACATCTGTCAGCATTGAATTTGATGTTCAGATGTTATAGCATCGACTTCTAGTGTTTAAAATGTGAACTTTGAAGCAAAAGAGGCTTTCTTGTTTGGCTTGGTCTTTTCTTCATTGTTTGAGTTTGTTTCTAATGTTGGCCTTGCTCAAAAGCTGAAGTCTTTTTATAAAGCTCAGAGTGACTGCCATTCCCTCTTTTGGAAACCTTAAAACAGCAGAGGCCACATAAGCCTCTGTTTGGTCCCTTGGGTTACTTGGTGTACTGTGTGGTTTCACTCCCAGAACATGTGGAAAAGGAAGCTTCATTTGGCTTTGCCACCAAAATGAGTGATGCCTTGGCTTGCATTCCCAGCAATGCAGGCAATGCTAACACCACTGTTGAAGGCTGGGCTTGAAGCCCTTTATCTGCTCTCCTGTGCTCACTATGCTGATTTTTGGCTGGGATAGAGTTACATTTTCTTTGTGACATCAGTTCAAGTAGCTTATAGTACCATGTGTGAGCTGCTATGATGGTCTGGAAAAGTGTCAGTCTGAAACATTGGGATTAGTTCTATAACATTAGTGAAAGAATAAAGGTTTCTTCTGTTAGCCTTGTGTGAAAGCGAATGTCTTGGCTTTTTCCCAGGGAACAACAGTTGAAAGAGAGTAGGTTTAGATTGGATGTGAGGAAGAAGTGTTTTTTATGATGAGGATGGCAACGCACTAGACCAGGCTGCCTGGAGAAGTGGATGCCCTGGCACTGGAAGTGTTGAGGATGGCACTTTAAAGAAAGCTGACCTAGTGGAACATGTCCCTGCCCATGGCAGGGTTGGAACTGGGTGATTTTTAAAGGCTTCTTCCAACTCAAACCCTTCTATGATTCCCTGATCTAGGATAGATTATTTTGAATGTAACTCTTCTGGAGTCCCTGTCTCTGACACACACCTCCCAACCACAGTTCTTCACTTGTATTTTTAGGTGCTCTCAGAAGCTCCTTGATGGGAGGTATAATTTAGTTGAAACCGAAATGTCATTCCTATGGAACATTTTATTCTGCGGAAGTTGAAAAGTTATGATTAAAGTAATCTGCCAAATATAGTGTACTGTTTGTTGATGTGTTGGTTCTTAGGTAAATCAAGGTATTTTCAGGCAATTGAACTCACTTAAGCAGCTTGAAAATAATGTAACTTTCAGGAGTTCAGATATCCATTCCCTGCTTGGAAATAAGATTGGTTCCAACCTAAGTGCCGTGCTTCTATCCACAGAACTATTATGTTCTCAAGCAATTTCCAATAGCTGTCTGCCTGAAATAATGGTTGATTTGGGATTCATGGTTTAATACCTAAGACTAGTCTAATAGAGGCTGCAAGAAACCCAAGATGATAGCCATCTGGAAAAAAATGCACCTCTCTTTAAACTGATTTGAAGCGCAAATTGCGGTGAAAGGCAAATGTAGTGAATTTCAGCATCCCTTCTGATCTTTCATTTTACATAAGCATCCTGATTGGCTTGTTGATACTAAATGAAACACTAGCAACATTAAAAGCATACAGTTTTATTGCTTGGGTGTATGCAAACTAAGATTTTCAGTATCTTCTAATGAACTCTGGAAGTCTTGAAGAGCTGCACCTTTAAAAGAGTCATTATCCATAGGTTACTGAACTCTAGATTGAAGGAGTTGGCTTATTACCAAGTTTGATTGAATTTCAAAAGTGTCCACTGTGCAACAAAAATGGCTAGTCATTGAAAATGTGGTGAAGTAAAATGAAAAAAGGCTTTGTGAAATGGCTGCCTGTTGGAACACTTCAGTCAAGCTGTAATGACTAAATGACATTCCAAGTACAACTCTACTTCTTAAATTAATTTGGGGATAGGCAGACTCTAATGAAGCTAGACTCTAATTAACTTCTGTATTGTCTGGAATTCACTTTAGCCAGGAACGGCTTGAGGAAAAACGTCTCATCCAACAGTAACCTTAGTCTGCAGTAACTGTTGAAAAGTCTGCAGGAAACTTGCATTTGAACTTTATTAATGGGGTACCTGACCATGATGCAGGCTAATTATGAAATATCTGACTTTTTGTTTTTTGGATGCAGTGTCCTATGGTGTTTTGTGATGAAATGTCCAAAGCAAGATATTTATTTTATGTGAAACTTTAGTGCTAATGTGTTTGTTTTGGTTTGTGTTTTTAGGGATCAGACAAGAATCTCCAATTTATTCCTTGCTGAGAGTTCCATCTGGTAAAAGTCATGTCATCCATTTTGCCATTTACTCCACCAGTTGTGAAAAGACTTCTGGGGTGGAAAAAATCTGCTGGTAGCTCTGGAGGGGCTGGTGGTGGTGAGCAGAATGGTCAGGAGGAAAAGTGGTGTGAAAAAGCAGTGAAAAGCTTGGTCAAGAAGCTCAAGAAAACAGGACAGCTGGATGAGCTGGAGAAGGCCATTACCACCCAGAACTGCAATACAAATTGTGTGACAATACCAAGGTAAGTGCTGTTGTATTTGAAATGGCTATAACCAGTTAAGAAATTACTAAATGGATGTTTAGGCTATCCTGTGAACAAGTGACAAAAAAAAATCAGGTGCATGCTTTTGATTCATTAAAAAATTCCTTAAAACCTATTTTGGTTTTATATAATGCTTGCTTACAACAATTGCATACTTTGTAAAGTCACAATTTCCAACCATGGCTTTATGTTTCAGTTTTTCTTACTATGTAGAATCCAATTTTTACATGCTTTGGTGGTGCCTACCATAGCTCTTAGTTTGCAGCACTGCATTATGCTTCCATTTAATAACCCTATCTATAATTAGAGGGGCATAATGGAACCCACTCTTTTTCTCTTTAAAGTAGAAGACTTTTTCCTTGCCCAACACTTCAGCCATCCAATTATTTTCAGTTGTATCTGGTACTTTCTTTGAAATTGTACAAGCTGCATCCATTCTCCCTTTTGAAGGAGAATTTTATCTTTGGAGGCAGGTTGTCTGAAGACCAGTTTACTTACCTTAATTATTATTTGTTGGTTAATGAAACTGCTTTTTATTTAATAACTTGGTGTATTTCTGGAGCTGTTCTTCTGTTCCTGATACGTATAGATTTAGCTGATCAACTTGCTTTCAACCCCTTTAATTTTGTCAACTACTGTGTGAGAGGCAAGGGTTATGTTTGTAAGTACAATGCAGTCTGCTCTCAATTTGCCAACAGAAATCATACTAAGGTGCCTGTGTAAGTTCATTATGTGCAACAAGTATGAAATCACTTCACAGGTGTGCCTTTATATGAGGAAGTGGCACAGGATCATTCTGGCCCCTTGATCCTTAAAATAATTTCTAGGGGGGAGAAACTGCTTCTGGTTTATGACCTTGATTTCTGTATTGGCACATTCATCCCAGCTACCATTAAAGTTTGCATCAGTCATAGTGCCAGCTAGATTTGACTGGTGTTGGTAATGGTTTCTGTATCAAATGTTATAGCTGTTATCTGATAATATTTTTAGCATTCTCTTAGATTTGATGCAGCTTTCTGGGAACATCATGAGTATGCTATGAATTACTGATAAATTCTGTTCTTTCTCTTTTTCTATTCACCTTTTGCTTCTAATACTGCCCTCTGCTTGTATTTTCTTCTCTAGACCAGTTCCAAAATTCCCCAAGTTTCCCTTCTGCTTTCTTCCTTTGCAAACTGGAAAATGATCATAAATAAAATACTGGGGCTTCCTTGTCTTAGTGTATATCAGTGGATTTAAGATTGCAACCTGTAGGATATATATTTCTTGACTTGAGATGACTCTGTATTTAGCAAATCTTTATTGTGGCAAAGAGAAAATGCTTAATTGGAAGGTTCTTCATATGACAGAAGCTAAATATGTCATATAGAGATTCACTTGATATGAATGTGTACCTAACTTCTGGAGCTCTTTTTGAGCTCTTAAACTTTAGAGACCTCCATTGTCAGAGGCAGTAAATACTGCTACTTCAGAATAATAGTTGTCTAATTTTGAAGATGATGTTAGAAGATAGAAACAGTTTTCCTAGTCTGCTTTGAGTATGTCATCCTGCTTGCCACGACCCTTCGTGTTAAACTGGGTATAGCAAGTCTTTCAAACAGAATGCAGTGCTGTGTTATACTCTGAATATTGTGACCAGCAGTTCTTCCTGGGCTGTGATTTTTCTCATCTGTTCTCTAGTCAGCTGTGAAAAGGACTGGATCTAGGCTTTACTTTTCTTGATTGTCTTAGGAGTTACCTCTTTGAGTGATCTTGGTTTAATTTTAAGCTAAGAAATGGCTTTGGTATTAAGGGGTGAGGTGATATCCAGGTTGTCAGCAGCACTATACAGAATTCTTGAGCTTCATAGTTGGCTCTTGGACTGTTGAGATTATTTCACGTTGACAGCAGTAGTCTGGGTTCCCAAGAAAGAACAAATATCAACTCAGTACTGTAATTCCTTCTGGAGACTGTTGGGCTTGGCTTTAGCTGCTTGAGACCTGCTTTAACAAATACCTTAAAGATCTGCAGATCAGCAGGGATAAATAATGAAAGACTGAATTTGAAACTTATTTTTCTTATTCCTAGTTGCCAGGAAGTGTTGTTCTGCTTGGGGAGGCTTTTGTTTGGCTTTGTGTTGCTTTTGTAATATGCCTGGTAAGGTACAACTAATAACATGTCCAGTTGGGGCAGGTTTGTGTGAATGTTGAGCTACAACAGAGATTGTTGTAGCTCCTTTTTTATATATGTATATATATATTTATATATAAAATATATATTCTCTTAAACTTAACTCCCCCAAACAAAAACCAACAAAACCAAAGTGAAATACTAATTACAACAAAAAAACCCCACCACCAACAACAAAACTGACAAAAGCAGTCATGTGCTATATTGTCACTATTGACCCAGAAGTTATCTCATAGTAGTCATTTTTTTTTCCTCCAATAAAGGAATCAGGGCTTTAGTCAACCTAAGTCAATGGTAGGCTATTTCCTGGGTTACTGTGGTAATTAGCATCTTTATGTCAGACCAGCTATTCAGCGTGCTGAAGCTTCTTCTCATTATTCCCCTCTTCTTTTGTAGAAGTCATCCTATTTGGTTTTCTTGGTACTGTAATAAAACACCTGAGAGCTGTTTTTATTAGTGTGAATGTTTTTCTGGCAACCAGAGCAATTTTACAGGAAAAACTTCCCTATCGTGTACCTCAGGCTGTTAGTCTAGGAAGAACTTGTAGGATAAACTAACACAGTGCAATTTACTACTGCAGCTTTGAACACAAATAGCTAGTTGATGGGCTCCCTACTTTACTTTTATTAATTTAGATGGTATTAAATAATCTCCCATGTCTTGTTCACTACTTGTTTCTGTTCATTTACTCTGACTTGGTTGCAGTGCTGATTGGTGGAAAACTTCTAAAATTTACAGTCTACAATGCCATAATCTCATCATGAACAGCTTTCATTGGCTTCTGTCATGCTGCATTGTTTGAAGCAGACTGGCAGTATACAAGAGAACAATTGGGAGCTGGAATGGGTTCATATGTTGCTGCATGTGCCTCAGTATTTGCAGAAGAGCAATGGGATGAGGGAAATCCCCTTGAACAAGTGCTGCACACTAATCCAACTTTAATGTTTGTTCAGGAAAAAGTGCCCCAAGTTGCATTTGTATTCCAGAATGTGAGGGCACATTTTGGATGTGAGGGTGATCTGGCTGCAACATCTGTCACCCCATTGATCGCCAGGGTTGATTTGGCTGATCTGGCTGGCTAGGTGGGTGTCCCCTTCCTCCCTCACCACTCCACATGCGTCCCTCCCAAAGCTCTGCACTTGGTTGAAGAGGACGACCTTCCCCGATACAGGCAGTACTGTTCATCAGTCACAGGTATACAGTAGCTGCACTTCCCTGCTAGAACCTCCAAACAAGCTCAAGGTCCAGTTGTAGGAGAACATAGGGTACTCAAGCTTCCAAGACTGCAGACACATCCAAGTGAGGTGCTGCACATGGCAGTCTGCCCTTCTTTAGGGCAACGAAGATGATTAAGGGAGTGGAACATCTCCCTTATGAGGAAAGACTGAGGGAGCTGGGTCTCTATAGTTTGGAGAAGAGGAGACTGAGGGGTGACCTTATCAGTGTCTATAAATATATAAAGGGGGAGTGTCACGAGGACGGAGCCAGGCTCTACTCAGTGGCAAACAATGATAGGACAAGGGGTAATGGGTACAAACTGGAACACAAGAGGTTCCACTTAAACTTGAGAAGAATCTTCTTCTCAGTGAGGGTGACGGAACACTGGAACAGGCTGCCCAGGGAGGTTGTGGAGTCTCCTTCCCTGGAGACATTCAAAACCCGCCTGGACACATTCCTGTGTAACATTACCTAGGTGTTCCTGCTCCGGCAGGGGGATTGGACTAGATGATCTTTCGAGGTCCCTTCCAATCTCTAGCATACTGTGATACTGTGATACATTTTAGCAAGTCAAGAATTGAAAGTTTTCAAAGCGTTTGCCCATAATTGTAGGTAAACTGAGCATTTCTTCAGATGCTTGGGTTTTTCTTAGGTGCTGGCTAGAGAAAAGTGTGCTGCAAAAGAAGCAAACTGAGTTTTAATACAGAATCTCAAACTTCATTGAATTGGTGAGTTGCATCCCAGAGCTGGTCCTTGCTTCCTCTCAGTTCTGAGGAAGGCTTCAAGTTCCTCCGTTGATGTTTAAAGGAAGTTTAACTCATGCTGTGGCTCTGAAATTTGAAATACAAACAAAAGCTGATGTCAGCTGATGTGGCATGCTGCCATTTTGTGCCATGGAGAGTAATATTTGAAATGGTGTTTGACTTCTTGAGGGCTTGTTTGAAAAAGTCTTTTTAATAATTCAAATGTTAATGTCATGAAGTTCACTTCACTTTTTTCTGAGTGCTCTATGAACCTTGCTATGTTTGTGCATGCCTACAGTACCACAGCCTGTGATTGCCAAAACTTATTGAGAGTTCCGTACTGTTTCTCTGTAATAAGTCTTCCCTTCTGTTTATAGCAAGGGGAACTTGAATTCTTTCCCTGATGTGGCTGTTAAGTTTATATTCAAGTGTGTCCATTCTAATGAATTCCATGAAGCTGGTAATACCTTCTTAGTTCCTTTTTATTTAAATTTTCAGTGTCTAATGTTCTGCTTGTCCTGTCTATCTCCCTTGCAGAGCAATGCCTTGTCTAAGCACAGTTAGCAACCAAAACAGTCAATGTTTTGCTGCCCTCTGTCTCAATTAAAGAAATAGGAAAGCAGAAGGCCCACTAAAGTGATTGTGCCTGTTGCAGCTATTTGAAAAATACTGTGATAGTCTGTTCCATTATAGGAAGACTTTTTTTTACTGGAGCCCAGTGTCAGTATGCCCATTCATTATGTGGGAAGCCCTCAACTTTTTGACCAATAAAGAGTTCCAAGAAGGATTTACACAGCTCACCCTGCACCGAGAAGCCACAGAACTCTTTACTTGAATGCTCATGTTCCT